TTTCTATAATCCACCGTGTACCTAACTAAGGAACAGTGTGTTGCCTTGTGACATCATTTGTCCGTCAGAAATGACTTGTAAGTGGGGGTGGGAGGGGAGTGTCTGACATGGCATCTGCTGACCGCAAATCCTGTTACCTTGGTTACAGACAGACTGGGCATAAAGGTAAGGTCACAGATCGGGAGGTTCTGTCCCCCGAGCAGCTCGCTGTAATTTGATTGGCTCGTGGCCCTGTTTGTGCACCCATCACAGAAAATTGAATTATCGTGACTGTCATCCAGAGAGCCACACAGCTCACCTCTCCTGTCTCCATCCTTCCATCTCTCCACTCGTCCTCTCATTTACTCCTCATGTTTGCGTCTCTGCTTCTTTCTTTCACCTCCATTCTTTTTTTTATGTCGTCTCTCATCTATTTTGTTATTCGGTATCATTGATTTTCACTTTAGAGCGTGGAAAAAGAAAGGAGTGGGCTGAAATTGTGTTAAACGACATTATTGCTGTCCCTGAATGCAGATGAGAGTTGAAGGAATACTCAAAATGAATATTCATTATATACTCGACTGTATACTGTTTTATTCAGTGGTACGCAAAAGAGATGTACAGAGAAAAGAATCTCTGTAGTTTTTTTTTTTCCATACAGCAACATTTCATAGTGCCCACGGCTTACAAGCTCCAAAAAGGACAAAAACCATAATAGAAGTACCATAAACGTACTTTTTCCATTTCACACATTCAAACTGGTGCATCCTGTTTGATTACAACACACAGAAACGAATGGCATTTCACAACAATGACGTTAAACTTGATGCCACTCGTCAACTTGTTTTTTTGGTTATGATATAAATGCAAATCAATGGGTTTCCTAAAGAGACAGGGTGATGGAAAAAAATATAAGATGGGAGGAAAATTATATTACAATTGTTTTGGGTTTGCTCTCAAAACTTATGCGTTCCATTGAGATTGCAAAAGTTCAAGGAAACTCCACATTTTTGCAAGTAAGCACAAAGTTTCTTGGTGGCAAAAACATTCAAATATAATTTTTCCTCACATCTCATATTTTTTTTTCCATGACCATGCTCCATATGAACAAAATTTCATGATGAAAGATGTCAGTGGTTATTGTGCAATGTAGTGCAAAAGTCATATGGAATATTTTTGGAATATTTTTATGACATTTCTTTTTAAGCTTAAACATGGTCATTTTGAAATGTTGTTGTACAGAAGAAAAAATAAACGCTGCTTAAAGATTCATCAAAAATTCTCCTTTTGTGTTCCGCTGAAAAATAACAGCATACAGGTTCAAAATGACCTTTTATTTCCTTTAAATTAGTTTGAAGTTTTGGATCAGAGGCAGAACCTGAGAGATGCACTGCGCCAGATGCCTCTGAGTGTGTGTGTGTGTGTGTGTGTCTGTCTCTGTGCCAGCTGGTTCAAAGGAAAACTAACACGTCTCGCCTTCTAAGAGTCTTAATAATACATTCTCACTCACACAGATATGTTACGCTACTCCAGGCTTAGATTGACCTTTTTAAATGTGCTATTGCTGCAATTATGGGCATGAGTGAGTAGCCCTGTAAATCGCTCTCTCACTCACACTGTCTCTGTCTCTCTCGCTCTCGCTTCATCTTTCAGAGAGCAGCCGGTCAGTCTTGCTGAAGGATATGCAGCGTAAACTAATAATTATGATGTATAAGTAACATAAAGCACACCATCACATAAACTCAAACACACACACGCAACTCTTTATCTTCATATATATATATATGCTTATATATCATATATGCTTTACCATTATGGTGTATGGAGTGTAGATTGATGTGGGAAAAAAGTAATTTAAAGCAGTTTAGCATAAGGCAGCAACTTAACAAAATGTGAAAAAAATGAAGGGGTATGAATATTTTCGCAAGGCACTGTATAT